ACGTCTTCAGGTGTTCGACAATCGTTGTCTCAGAACCATAGCTCGTGTGAATTGGTGTCGGCGAATCCGTAACGAGGCAGTTAGAAAGCGTGTTTTCGGTTGTGTAACGGATACTTCCATTGAAGAATGTGTTCAGCACCAGAAGCTGCGTTGGTTGGGACATGTGTTACGTATGCCGAAACGTCGTTTGCTGAAGAGAATTCTGTTTTCCATGCCCAACTCAGAGTGGCGTAAACAGAGAGGTGGCCAACCCTTGACCTAGCAGAGGAGTATGAGTGAGATCACGAAACGTTTGGGTGCTGTCGGTGCTACTCGCCTTCCAGGGTGGGGACCGCGTGATCCTCACTGTGCCTGGTTGGAGACACTACAGGATATGGCTGCCAACCGATGTCAGTGGCGTTCTTGTTGTCAGCTTCTATCCAGATTGCCTGAGTGAATGTCTGGAGGTGTATGTGGTAAGCTAGCACTAAGTCCCTTCCCCGTCCACCTTTACTCTTTTCTTTCCAGTAAGGCTTTCAAATAAATCATGGTTGTACGGCAGTGAAGCATCAGTGTTGAACACTGATGTCATGTTGTCGATGATGATGATGACCCATCAGGCAATAAGAAAATATAATCAACAAATGAATAATCGTTTAGCTGCAACTCCCATTCGGCGCCTAGCTGTCGCGATACCCGATGAAAGCACTAGGGCCAAGATATTGTTAGGCTGCCCAAGTTTAGACAGCACCAGTCAGAATGCCGCGGCTGTATTCGAACCATGGACCCTCTAGTCGGTAAGTCAATCTCATAATCATTGAGCTACATTGAGCTCCAGGCAATATCTCTAAGGGTTCTTTTCGTGGATACTCGGAGACATTCAGGTATGTGTTGACTTATCTGTGTACCAAGAAGTCTCCTTCCACTGCTTGTGTATCTGCATCCACGGTTGATAAGTTGGCAGGTGGCATTTGGTTTGACGATAAGGGTCACGACACAAATACCGGGAGTTATATAACCTGTTGAGTGCTGCATTCAATCAACATTCGAAAAGAGGTCAAACTTCGTCACATTTCGACGTAAGGCTGAGATAAACGGGTTTTCGTGGGACGGCTAAAGGTAGCACGCTTGCTTCTGGTTTCGGGCGACTCAAGAAATACGCCAACAAACAGTTGTTTTCAGATAAAACGTCCATTAGTAGGGAGATTTCATGCACTATCTTGTCTTTTTTCGGAGTCTGTAGAACCTGGTTTTCACTAGTGCGCGTACGTCACACAAGTGTGAGACCTATGAAGAGCTGACACTGGCATATTGTACGCCTCTGGATAACGTACTATTTTGTTTGTTTCTTCAGTTCTGATAGTAAGCTGTAAGTCCTTATGAAGAGTGTTAAGTAAGCGGTGAATACCTCATACTTGTTCGTACCCTGAACGTTTAGCAAACATACCGTACCCATGAACACAACAACTGCTTGGATTTCTAGTCAGCTAGTTTTCAATATGACCTATGGATAATTCTGCAACTACTCACGAGAGAAGATTCCCATTGGCGTTTCACCAACTACTTGTTTGTGAAAGATGCCATTGAACAAGCATCGCACGTTCCAGGTATGAATGTAACAAGTGCGAACACATCAGTCAGGAGTAATCTCAGTGATAATCACAAGACCATGCCAACGATGGTTTTAGGCGTCAACCGATACTAGAGAATGACGTCAGTCATTCTCTCAACGACCAATTTGGAGCGGATCCGTGAAATCGAATGCTTTGTGGACTATTAGCTTTTGTTATTTATTTTTGGAGAGGAGTCAGTGCAATTGGTGACGATGGGTTACATTTGTTCCAATAAAAATTCAAGTCGAATTGCAAAAGGTTATATGCACCCCTATAAGGGTTGCATCTTAAACAAGTTTACAGAAGATTCGACAAGTGAATCGAAATAAGATAAAAAGTATTGAGTGTGAACACAGCAGGAGGCAACTGATGAGACGGCTCAAATGAGTAGACGTCGCTCGAAGCTATCGCGCCATGGGATCGCGTTGAGGATACTGATTTGATTTGGGACAGTGTCAGTGTCAGAAACCCCCTCATATATTGCTGTTGATGTTGCTGCTGATATATTGTTGTATGGCTGTGGTCTGTTGGAGCAGGAGAACTGAGGCATCTTCAGGTGTTCGACTATCGTTGTCTCAGAATCATACCTCGTGTGGGTTGGTGTCAGCGAATCCGTAGCGAGACAATTAGGAAGCAAGTTTTCGGTTGCGCAACGAGTACTCCCACTAAAGAATGTCCAGCACCAGAAGCTACGTTGGTTGGAACATGTGTTGCGTACGCCTAGCCATCATTTGCCGAAGAGAGTGTTGTTTTCCATACCCAAATTAGAGTGACGGAAGCAGAGAGGTGGCCAAACCTCGACCTGGCAGAGGGGTATGAAGGAGATCACGAAACGTTTGGGTGCTGTTGGTGCTAATCGCCTGAGGAAGGGGAACGCGTGATCCCCATTGAGCTTGGTTGAAGACGCTGCAGGATATGGCGGCCGACCGATGTCAGTGGCGTTGTTGTCAGTTTTATCCAAATTGAATGAATGAGTGTTCGAAGGTGTGTGAATCTCGGAATGGTTGTAGTAACAGTAGCACCAAAACCCCTCCGTGTCCACCTTTATTCTTTTATTATTATTATGGCTGTACAAGTTAGGGAGAATAAGTTAGGGAGAAGATATAACTTTCCAGTGTAGCAACACAGAACTAGATACGATACGGGGCTCCGGGAAAGTTTTACTCCCTCTCCGTTCCGGGAATTTGTCGTTCGTACTGATTCACCTCTAATCTCAGACACGTTCATAATGAATAGTTACCGCGTTTTGGTGTGGGATATGCTGCACCCAATTTTCACTTCTGGACTTACTTCAGTGAAAATTTGTGCACCTCAGTACCCTCACTGCAACGACTTGCAAATCTTTATCCAACCACTATCAAAGCATACATGATCCTTGAAATTCACTTACCAAGTCGCTCACTTGCGTAGTCCATTTCTATGCTTTTAATTAATCGAACCTATGAAGACCCCCCGTTATCATGCAGTCCTCTTCTTCAGTCCACTCGTCCCTTAGAGTTTGGAAGCAACATGGATGACAACGAAGAAAGACACTTTCAGCGTCCCTTCAAGACTAACCGTGAAACAAGTTAAGCAAGTGACCCAAATCTCATTAGGCTTCTTTTAGGGGGAGAGGGTCACGAACGAAGGACACTGTGATAAAAAAGGTAGCCATGTTCCTCAGGCGGGCGAATAACAAAGATTGGTTGGTGGCTACCCAAGAAACAGAATTTATTTCCTGAAACCATACGATTGCTGTTTAGAGGCGAATTTTCACTCATATTGTTGATGACGATACTCCATCTACCCTGAAACTTAGTGGGGAGGTCATACGAAGACAAACCATCGTTTCCCAAGGAAAAAATAGCACCATTCAAACCACCGTGCAACCAACTACTCTGTAACAAGATCACACTAGTAGTGGAATTTCCCTTCCAAAACACAGCCAATCCTGTGCTTCCTTCTCCTGCAATGTATCATAGATAAACACATTGCAGCGGATGTTTCTCAACCTAGCCGGGACACTTGATTAATAAGTCATAGACGCATAGGGTCTTCATAAAACTGTAAAGAGCAGTTTCAACGTCTATCCAGCATGATGGATTATGATTCGCTTGGCATGAATAAGCAAGCAAGTTATTGACGGTCCCATTGAAGTGTTATCAATAGGCTCCGAAGGTACACTCCAGCAAGCGGACACTACAGAAGTAAGAAAAAGAAGAAAGGCATTTCAAAAATCAATCGGTGAGATAACTCACAAAAGATGTTTAGGCCCAGCCAGAGCGATGTATTTGGCGCCAGTTCCGTTAGATGATGCTGCTCCTCTAGAGAATGAATGGAAACCAAGTGGCCTTCAAGGGTGACGTCAAGCGGCGAGGAGAAATGAGTAGTAAGAGAATTGCAGGTCTTCTCCGCAGCGGACCAGTTCTTACGATCGCTAGGGGGCATCACTGCATAACACTTTCCGCCAAACGGGCTCCATCCCGGAGGACATTTATCGGCATCAATAGCCCGATTTTTACTATGCAAGGCATGGTCATCTGGGAGAAGCCAACAAAAATGGATGAAAGATTTGGTGAAACTAATTCGCGCTCGACCAGCGAGGTAAGCACACCACCAATAAACTTGTTTGACCAGTTTTCGGCTTCATTTGAGCCAGCTTCATACAGAGAGAAATCACAACTAGCAGGCAGCTTCCTGGCAGCCCTAAAAAGCCAAAACCTTTCGAGTGGCCTTTATTTTGCGAGATATGTTTAAGGGGAAATAATATCACTTTAAGGTAGAGTCAGTTCCATTATGACCGCAGAACATCAGTTGTGTAATAGACAGAGGTGAGCCACCAGGAAGTGTTCTGATTATCATCTGCGTGAGGACTCTTACGGAGAGCGTAACAATTGTTCTTCAATCACACATGTACGTCAGTAAAGACATGCTGGGTATATTGAATAAGTGTGGCCAAGTGTTGGTTGACAAGATCATCGCCATAGATATACGGCATTGTGGTAGCATGATTCACCGATTACTAACGTGAGCAGATAACAGAAATAATACGAGACACATTTCCAGTGGTCATTCTTCTCCTATCAACGTACAGACCTACATGCTTGTGATCGCCACGTCCTTTCACGCCAACAGGCCACAGTCAAAACTCGTGAACATGCAGTGGCCAAGTAACTCCTACCTAGAAAGTTATCTTGTGTGAAGAGACAAAGCCCTTCGATTCCGATTAGGACAGAATACCTAATACGAGAAAAGAGTCAACTGGTAATTGAATTATGTAAATAGTGTAAACTTGTTTGTTTTCGTTAACCAAATACACAACCATGACAAATGAAGTCCAGCTGCAAAGTAACGAGTAGAAATACTGTCCAACAGGCTGAGAAAACAAAGCTTAGGACATGCGACCCACTTACAGTCAACAAAGCTACATGAAACTATCCAAAAATGCCCTCCTGGTAGATAGCAGATTGCGGTCATAGGTGAGTCGTACAAGCGATACTGCATTCACCCGGTCTTGGGATTTGACCCAGAAAAACTATGGCAACCATATCGAACATCACTACCTAATGCTTTCAAAAATATGGAATTTCTGAGGGGTGTGTTAGTGAATTAGCTGTCGGAACTTTGCACAAAAACATTTGTTGAGTAAGATTAGTGCGCCTGATAGCTGTCAACCTAAACATCAAGAGAAAGTTCAGGTCAGAAATACAGAGCAGCAGCGTGAATGCACTGTTCGCCACCTAACGCTCAGTACCAGCGGTTCATCTAACTAAACAAGTGAAGAGAGAGCGTGGGAAAACGCAATACGTTTGAGGCTCTGATGGTTTTACAGAACAAAGCATTTCAACGTGTTGAGAAGAAAACGCGACGCAGTTTTATTGAACCCCTCAAACCCAGTCCGACACGACAAAGTACACAATACGCGTTAACTTGCTACTAAGTACAACTGACTAGTTATCAGAAGTGGCTTAAGGTCAGACGCTGACGAATTAATCACTCAGCTTTTGGTGTACAGTAATCGCTATCGTCTATCCATTCAGTTGAACATGTAATGCATGCTCTGCCGTTTCTGGCAAGAACAGGTTGATGATGGTTGGATGTTAATGTTTGGACGCATAGAACACCAAAATGCTAATTTAAATTAGCATTGGGTCCAGTTCTCCCAATCTGTTTCTCTAGAACAAACAGATTTGTTCTAGTTCAACGAATTTTAGTCTGAGACGATAAATGAAAATGACAAAATGGTTTGGCACAACACAAGATACAAGTAGGGATGATAGGAAAGGTTGATTCAGTTGGCGGATAATCCACAGGATAAGCTTATTATTACGAGTCAAGTACAACTGCAGGTAAGTTCAAAATGTCGATTGCAACGAACCAAATGCCTTGTCAATGTCCGTGTAAAGTACCTAAACGGAACAGACAACTTTCCACATGAATTACGCCACTCGAGGACTCGTGGTCGACGTAATCTCAAAACCAACTTTGAAATCTTCCATTTTCATCGGCTGGCATTTCATGGAACTCGCGACGTTCGATGGCCCAGAAAGGTGGATTTTAAGTTCAAAATAACTTCGACAACACAGTCTCCGCTTCCCTAACTCATCAAAACGCTCTTCTCAAACATTCATCGAAACTGTCTCAGCTGCATAATAGGCTGCGTAGAAATAACGGAGGTGAAGTGGCAAGAGTTGCTTACCGCTTGCGCTACAAAATTCACAGTGAGTGGTTCTAAATTCTTCTTTCTAACTGTACGTCGAAGAATCCAGACTCACAAATCAATCTGTCGAAAGCTAAGCCATCTTCAGAATATTAGCGCAAATTTACTAAGGAAAATCAACTTCAAAAATTCGGCACAAATTACCATAAATTTACGAGACTAAACAACACCTCGAATTAAGAATAGCTGGCCTGAATGCTGAATATTGATTCTTGAATCACGCGGCAAAACTAACAAACAGAAACCTAATGTTACGTTCAAATGACGGTTTGTGTTTCTATTGCAGCAGCTCTGGCACACCTTGGATTTATATGCTTGTAGCTGTGAAACAACCGAGTTTTCATCCCCTTGTCACAGAATGACGGAGTCTCAACTATGTCCGATGTTTTGATGAATGGACTTTGATAATCCACTACTGCAATAGCAAGCCATTGAACATTCACGGTGAATCACATACGGGTGTCTAAGTGATATCCAAACGATGTCATCCGCCGGGTCCGGATCCGAAAATGTCATGTGATCTTTTTGGGATCCGTAAGAAAGCGAATTCCCTCGTGTATAGTCTGTCATACTATCCATCCAGTTCCAGCGGTTTCAGTAGCACAAAACAAACGATGTGGCCCCATCTTGCTTGCAATCTGGTCTTAGGTTAAAAAGTGCAAGCTAGTAAGCCAAACAGAACTATAGTGGAAGTGGATAAGACAAATCGATAGAAACCAAAATTTACTGCTTTGTACATATCAGGAACACCATAAAACACGCACACATTTGCAGAGTGCAGATGGTTATAGTTTCCTGGTCCTTGCTTCCTACTTATGTCGAACGTACACCAGGAACTGCCCACTATACCTAGCACGCATGACCAAGAAGTGCACAGAAATTTGGAACTGAGATGGCTGCGGTACAGGAAAATAGGATGAGGGTATAGCTAAGTAACAGGTAAATGGTGGCAACACTCTCAGAAGGCTTACACCAAAATGAAAGGCCAAGGATCATATCCGGAACTAACATCGAACGGTTTAGGCGGTCAGAGTGACACCCACCGCACATTCGAATTCGGTACAGTTGCAGTCAATGAGAAATAAGTTGTAGAGAACGTACAAGAAGTCCGCGACAACTGAAAACATCGTACTATGGTAACTGAGAATGACGCAAGGATGTGACTTAACGTGCTGGGGCGAAAGCTGATGAATTCCGTTTAGCCACTGAGGGGATTCATGAACCAAAGCAAATGTCCTCTATAGCCGGCTTCATTGGAAATGAACAAGTAATACCAGGGTGGCCAATTTTCGAACACTCGACCAACAAAGTGAAAAGTGGGGTTTGGAAATTTAGGACTGCTAGACTTGCAGGATGTTCATAAATATCTCGTTGTTCTGGCACTGGTAGGTACTAAACCAGAATCCCGCTTAATACTATGCATTCAATGCCTCACGAGTGATCAGGAGTCGACGACAGTGAAACAACATTGTTTATTTCTAAAGGAAACTACTCAAAAGGTTGCTGGAAACTCTTCGACAGCCCACGACCGGTTTCGCCCTTCTTGGGGCTCATCAGGTAGGCGCAGTCCCCGAGTTTCCGTCAACCTTATGATCTACTTGAACCCAAATTGCACTGTTTTCAAGAAACACACTCATTTGCAAATGAATTTGGTTTTCACGGGAGACTCAATTGAATCTCTCGTTTATGATGTCCTTCTAGTGTTCCTAGTGTGGGACCACATCGATGAATTCGGCGGAACTTAAGCCGACTTTGTTAACTCGTACACGACGAAAGATTTTTGCAGGTCAACAGTTCGTTCACAAATAATCTACCAAAGGCCCAACCGCTTCTGTCAGATGCACCGTTTAGGTGTGAAATATCTTATTTACTTGACTGGTGCACCGTGGGTGTTACAGTTTTGAGCTTCCTTTCAAATGATAGCGTTGGTGACTGAAATAACTGAGCAACACAGACATGCCTACACAATGAAGCTATGAAGCAACAGTCGGATGATGAATAAACATATCGAACAAAATTAAGGCTTCTAGCGAATACTATCACACATCACATAGCTAAGTACATAAAACCATAACAAAGATCAGTAACCTGGGCCGCACTTCTACCAGTATACATAGCTGACAACGCGTGGGGTGTCCACGCTGATTAGTCACTTAACGACACTGAGAGTAGAACTTGTGACATCCGCCCGAGTAGCCAACAAGGTCGTGAACTCCGGACTGAATAGACAGGAAACCCTTGAAACGCCATATAGCTTAGTTTGTGTTGCTAACAGCGATACACAGCTGGCACGTCGGAAAACATAAAGTTGCAGCTACTGATGTGAGGACCGGATGTGTGTGTCTAGTCAAATGGAACTATTCTACACTGACCGGGGCCGATCGGGTCGGTGGTTATTTTAAACATCTGTCCTCATCACCTGTAGGTAACGGACATGTCCGCCACATACGTAAGCAAAACGGCAGCGAAAAGAAACATCAGGGATGTGCAAATGCAGCAGATCCCCTGAAGTGTACAGAACTAATAAAGTTCGAAGGAGCGTTCATTCTTAGGTGAAAACCGACACAAGAACGAGACAGTCACTTCAGGCCAAAATTAACTTCCAAATGGAAGCGTCTATCAAACCCGTGAACTCATCCATATGGACTTTTATGACTTTTCTTTGGATTATCTTGATATTACAGAGAGAATCTTGTGTGCACATACTCCAACGAGTAGCTCTAGGAATCCTTCTCAAAGCTCCTTAATACAACTCACGGCGGGCAAATTTGATTTGCCGACTTGAATGATGCGAAACATTTGACAGTTACACTAATAGTTCCCTTTCAGAAATGGGGGTCAATGTTGTTCATGTCGTCTCATGGTTTGGAAAAAAGTACACTTTGTTTTGGAAAGAACAAGCAACAGATAAAGTACAACAAACGTAGGTACATACGATACATTGATCAGGAACGATACCACACACCTCGTCCGTACGTACAGTTCGCTACAAAACTATAAGGGCGACTGAAAACTGTGCGAAGCTCAGAGAGAGAAAAATGTGCACTCAATTATGCTGAATCAGTTCACCAGGCACTCAGCACTTGACGATTAAAAACGATAAATCACGCTTTCCGACTCGAGGCAAAAAATGTTCAGGTGTAGGCATTGCTCAGCCAATAAGGTCAAGTGGAGGACGTCATATAACAATAAATTAAGGCGCCGGAAGCGTACAGAGTTAACCAGCGGTATGAAGTGGAAACCACTGGACTAGATGGGAAGCTAGAATGCAAACAGGAAACATTTGTGAATTGCTTGTCCAAAGGCTACCGCCCATTGAAGAATCGGTCGGAAGATCCTACGAATTCCGCAGGTGGCTGTTCACCTATTCGCTCGGCTGAACAGAGCTCATCAAAAAAAGGAATAACCCACCTAACTGAACAAATCAAGGGGCGTCAAGATAACCTAACTTACTAGTGTTCCCCTTAATCGCGAAATTCTCCAGCAGACAGCTTATCATGTAGGCTGTGCGTTAAAACATTCAACATAGACAGACCATTGCGACAGAAGTTCAACACAGATGACCAACGTCAATCGGCGCACTGTTGGCAAGAATCAGAGAAATATCAAGCCGCTGAGGCAGCCTGCGGTGCAGGCAGTGTGTCGAAATGTTAGTAGCCCGGGTGCGCTCATTGATGACCGATCAGGTGGCTGCTGACCTGTTAGCCAAACTTGGGGAAGAGACCAACGGCCACCTGACTTACCACCAGTTACTTGGTGTTCTTTGAAAACCAAAAACCTCCCTCAATGTTGTGTAGACACATGCTTAAAGTGGAGTTTGTTTTTTGCTGGACCGATATTAGACAGATAGCGAAACTCGGTTAATAGACTGGCGCTTAAATAACTGAAACCCCAAAAGAATTCCAGTTTTAACAAGATCACGCAATGCTAAGAAAGTTGCATAGGATGGGGAAATTGCCATAAAATGCACTAATATTCCTGATAAAAACAATGACACTGTAAGGCCGGTGGAAACTGGATTGACACGACCAAGCTCACGCCCTAAGCAGAACGTACTATATTTTATTTTCTAACAGCGTATCAAATGACTTAATACATCTGGGTGCGAAAACTATCATTCTCAATCTAGAAATCCAAGGTACATGTGTTTCGGCAAGGAGAAGAAAGCCTTAGCTAACAACGTACACAAACGTAAGCGACCAGAGTGGCAACACGGCAACTCACCAAGATAATAGGCACATATGGCTGGCAATTCAATTTCCTCGCAGTCAACCACTTTGAGTTGTGTATTCAGGATAGAAGCAACGACACAATGGTAACGTGAATCGGTCGAATCCCATCGGTCACTTCCGGTCAGCGAATCTCGATCGAAGGCTATTAGAGTCGAGGCACCCAAGAGTGATTCGTCTTCGGAAAATGTTTGCAGCTATCGCCGTGCAAGTATGGAAAAGCAGTATTGCACAGTAAAAAGCATCACACAAATAGAAAAACAATTTAAATGAAACAATTGTACGACCACTACTGGGGGCAGTGGAGGTATGCGGTATTGCTGATTAACTGCATTGAACAAAGAAGCACACATGAGGTTCATGTAGCCTTGCAAAAAACGCCGCTCGCTGGGATTAGTACTGCACAGTTCAAAAAGATTCAATGTATACATGGTGAATGGTGCCTGGTGAGCCCAGGTAATCTTAGTTAGAATGACCAGTCTTGTGACAACGACAAGAGTCTGTGCAAAAATACTAACTGATTGAGAATTCAACCAAGAATGTGAAACATTTGAATTGCCATGCCCCTTATGTTGACAGACGAGGCAGGGCTTTGAGCAACACTGAAAATCCGAAAACGACGTACCGATCCGTTGTTCCTTCGAACCTTCAATCCGATCCAAGCATTTTTCGCATACCCACCAAACTGACTGAGCAAAACGCGAAGAAACGCGGCGTCTGCGTGGGTGTGCGGCGTTCCAACAACCGGGCAAGTGACAGTACCCCAGTGAGTCGAACAATCGGGCCCAGCGATGTGAACCATCCTCCGACACTGACCAGTCACCGGATCTCGCAAGTCAGTAGCGCTCCTACTTTGGAGCATGGAATGGATGCCGAAACACTGTTTCCGATATTCGTAGTAGCCGTCGGCACAACGACCCCGGACGAATAAACCATCAAGCTTGGGAATAAGACTTGTACCTTTGTCGGGAACTGAACGCGGCGAATGCGGATGGGAAGGATCATGAAACCACGACAAAATAATCATTAATTTCATTGGAAGAGACCTTTTAAATGAAGGTAGACTCAAGGAATGATCAAACACTTCATCCTCTTATAAGAGCTGATACTGAAGAACTACTATGCATAATGCACATACATACGCAACATAGTTCGAATAGGTAGCTTTTTTACGCAGGACAGAGAACCATGTGCAACAGCTTGTCTTGAACAACCAAAACCGCAAGGTTAAAATGAAATCTGTTGCTGCTTCTACTTGTAATAGCAGCGAAGAGAGCGGAAGCAACGAAGAGACAAGTTAACTTAAAGAATGAACTTAGCTGAGAGGGCATTAGACACAACACAAGTCGCCTTCTATGGCCATGGTTAGACGACGAATCATAAGTATCAGGCTGACATACTCATGGAATGAATCAGAAATAACTGAACTCACGTAACGACCTCTGAGTACGTAGCAAATTCGCCTCCAGGAACTACAGCGTTAAACACTGATTTATTCACACTCGTAACAAGAACTCGATGCTGACAAATCACTTACAGCCCAAATTTCAGATGTTCAAACCGTTTGTTAAATGCTGCGGATTGTAATTCCAAACAATGTCTCTCTTAAGACAGTACAAATCCCCTAACACTGCGAAGGTGATGACAACGGTCATGATACAAGACGATAAGGAGATAAAAGCATTCTAATGGTAGCGAACCGAGCAAGCTAACTTACTTGGATCTGCTTGACATATGTAGCCCATGGGTACGTCACACTCTTCATCACCCCATTCGCCAAGGCTGGTAAAATGCCGATCAACGAAGGTACATCGCTGCAAACGAACGAATCCAAAAGACCGAGAAAACGTTGTGGCAATCAAACAGAGAGTTTGATTGGTTGTATTGCGCGATAAATTTCGAACAAAGGTGCGCAAAGATACGTCATTTATCATAGGAACGGAATAATTATCAATCTGAGGAAGAATATATAGGTGTTTTCCGCATCTGTCATTTTTGTTTGTACAGTGTTCGAGAATACTAATCAGTTTTTGAGTGCGAATGAGACGGAATGGATGAAATGGATATGGGAGGACCGGTAATATGCAGTGCAGTATACTGCCCCATCCGGCGGAGCTGGTCAAAAGCGGTAGCCTAGGAAGATGTTTTGGTTCTATTCAGTACAAACAGCACCGTATTTTTGTTTTCTGTGGAATGAGAGGTAGCAGTGTCTATATTGAGGAAGAATAAGAAAAAAACCAAATCCAGCAAGTAGGTTGTCCTGCCGTTCATACATGCCGCTCAAAAGCGGATTCACACAGCAAAATAGTACCTTCAGAAAGCGTTATAAGTAAATATCACTGAATAACAGATACAGATCCTTCGAAATGACCTGCACAACGTGTCACAAATGTACCTCCGAATACTGGTTTCCTTGAAAGTCGGGAGTAAACAAAGTGGAACACAGGAGAGACTCGGAATTCTAATCGAGACATCATGTTAAAGGAACTCACCGTACCACGACCAGCTGGTTGACCTTTGCCCCAATTAGTGAACACGACCGGGCTTCCCCGCACCCAGGAATGGACCCCATCGAGGAGATGAAGACCAATCCAAGCAGACAGGGATTGTAGACCAAGAAGTGCTGTTAAGCCATCTATAATGAAATCAAATTATTTAAATGCCGAAAAAATGGGTATTTCGGTATGCCGAAACAGAACTAGGAGCATAAACAACTCGCATTTCACAAAGCGGTGTGATCGGCCGTAATACTAGACAGTCAAGCCAAGAAGGGCGCAATCAAATATATACAAACTGACACGCGTCTTTTATCGCCGATTATCCTAAATATTCAGAATCAAAAAGAATACACAGAGGGTCTGAAAAATTTGTATGGGCAGACATCCTGATATGTTAAACTCCAGGAAGCAAACAAAACTGAAATCCGCTTCTCCGAAGTGTCCTGAAGGCTCGCACACTCAAATCAATCCTCCTAATAAGGATGTGAAAAAACTCTGCACACGCAACAAATACACTGTTTTCTCTAAAACAGATAAGTTACACTGAGTAACACGCAGGGATAAAAAATGTCGGAAAGTGAGCTGTGAGACCTGGGTCAAAGCTTACGGATGGAGAATCGCTGGATCGGACATTCACTAAGCTAGAATCCTATTGATTAGCCGTATGGTATGTAGACACACAAAGCGGGAAAATTCAAACCAACCTTGCTCATGCAACGAACTAACGGTGGCCAAGTCCCCTCCGGCAGCCTTACAACGTTCACTAGCAGCGTGCCAAGTTACCCTGTCCGACAGCCCAGCATTCACCTAAAACCAGCGAGAAAAGAAATGAGCCAAAATCCACATCAAATGCGTTTTGTGATAGCTTGCGCTAGCGTTACAGGCTGACGTAATACCGAGAATTCCGGAGTAAAAAGGAGTAGCAGCGTCAATAAGGTCACACCCATCCACCGAAAATGGATTGCGTTTGGGAACGGCATGGAAGTTTGCTGCTAAACATAGAATTGAGCCGATGGCCTCCTCAACGTCGGGCTGACCCGATGATGTTGAGTCACAAACCTCAGGTATTCGTGACTGGCCACAAGTAATCAGTCTAATACAAAATGCGTGCTGCAGTTCAACATAACAAAGTCGCGCCAAATGCTCCTCCACTGATATGGACTTACCCGAACAGTCGTTCCAGCGTACAAGAAAGACTGCTCAGTGGAGACACGTGAACACAAATTCTACAAGTTCCGAAGTGTCCGAATGCATTTCTCTACTCAAGCGTCATCGCGCTGCTGGTCCTGACGAACTTCCATCTGCTCTCTTCAAGGATGGCGGTGGATTCCTCAGTCAGTGCCTGTCTAGCCCATTTGGGTTCATCTGGGAGAAGGAGACCGTCCCAGACAACTGGGGTGAATCGATAGTGGTACCCCTTTTCAAAAAGGGTACTCTCAGTGAATGTAGCAACCACAGAGGCGTTAGCTTGACGCCTGTTGTGACAAGGCTTCTGGCGTCATTGATTCTTCGTCGTCT